AAAGAATTAAGATTTGTTATATACTATAAGAGACCAGATAGGAAGAACTGAGGCCTAACTGACTTTCTGTGAGCAAAAAGGTGAAAGGTGGCAAGCTGTGCTCCTCTGGTGGCATGCAGGTATACTGGAAAGGTGCAAGTTCCAGGGAAAAATCAACACAGCTAAGATTCAGTTGTTTACATGGACATATACTAGAAATGGGGAGAGGCATGAATCTTGTGTTTTGCTAAGTGAGACATGGGCGACCTGGACCCCTGCATTTTAAACTGATTGTGTGTATCTTTATTCACCTACCTGTCCAGGACAAACTCATAGGCTCGTTCCTGTAAGTGGCACCTGAACAGAGACCTGACCAGGGAAAGTACACCAGAGAGAAAGGTTCAGTGGTCAACTATGCGGAGTTCGTAGTAGAGAGTAGCTGGCTGGTGAAAGAAAAAGGAAAAAAGAAAAACGAAAAAGGAACTTGAATGCACGTAGAAAATTTTTTGGGCTGGGGAGATAGCTCAGTAGAATAAGCGCTTGCTTGGCAAACACAAGGGCCTGAGTTCAATCCCCAGTTCCTCAAAAGAAAATTTTTTCAATCAGGGTAATAGGGCAGGATTCACTGACTGAAGTATAACATTATCTCCCAGGATTTATGATTAATTCTGTTACACCACTGTCTTAGTTACTTTTCTCACATTGCTGGGACAAAATATCTAACATCCAAAATTAAGGGAGGAAAGGTTTAGTTAGCTCACAGTTAGTGGAGGTTTCAGCCCATACTTGGCTGGCTCTGAGGCAGAGTGGCACATGGCAGGGGCAGCAGCTCACGGTGGCCAAAAACAGCAAAGGGCAAAGAAAAGCAGCAGCTACAGCAGTTAACAAGCCTCTTTCCCTCCCCCACATTGCATTCAGACTCTCCATCCCAGGGTGGGTGTAGAACTCACATCATAGCACTGGATCATGAATTAATGCCCACTCCAAAGACTGCATAAGGCTTTGGAGGGACAACTAGACCCAAACCATAATAACCAGTTTCATGCTCAAGTTAGTACACAGTTACTTTCTATATGTTGCTTGATGTAATCAAACATAATCCTTGCTTTCCTCAGATGGGCATGTTTAACGTAGAATGTTGGGAACAAGTGAGAGAGGGTTTGTAGGGTGCACATACCAGGATTCATTTATACCCCTGAAACCTTCACACATGGAGCTTGGTCCATGTAGTTCTTTTTCCTTTATTTGCAGGAAAACAAAGTCATCTGTTCAGCATTGGGACTTTAGTAGTATGTTCATGTTTGTATAGATCCTTATTCTCATTTTATGCACACTACCTGCCTTATCAGCAAGGCTGCGGGACATATATAGCAACACTATCAGCATTTGTAAAGATGGGAGTCCCTAAGAAAGTAGGAACAGATACTGGCCCTGCCTATACAAAATGCAAGAATTAGCTTTCAAACATTTCTGCAGCAATGGAATGTCAACCACTCTATTAGAATTCCTTAAAATCTACAAGGACAGAGCTGGGCACATGGTCAGTGGTCTAAGCACCTGCCTGGAAAGTGCAAGGACCGAGGTTCGCTCCCTGGTACCACAAGATGTGCCAGCCCCTGAACTGTTCTCCCAGTCATCACAGTCTGGTTTCTTGATAGCTTGAAGGAAGATCTGGCCACCGTGCTGGTTCTGTAGCTTCGGCATTTTAAACCAATTCTGGGGGCTGGTGAGATAGCTCAGCAGTCTAAAGCACCTACTTGGGCAAGCTTAGGCAGGCGCAAAGGATCGCAGTTTGATCCCTGGCACCACATGTCACGCTAGCCCTGCCCTCAGGGTGGGCTGAGTGGGCCAATAAATAAATAAATAAATAAATAAATAAAAATAAACTAATTCTGTGTCCATTTCCCATCTTCACTGTGCCCCCTTCCCAGGAAAAACTGATAGGCTGATTTCTACAATATACCAACTCCACATGATGGATGTAACTGTTACTGTGTCTTCAAAATGTACTAATATAAATGTGATATGTGGCAGCATAGTTCAAATAAAGCACTGAGACAATTTTTGTTGGGGGAAAAACACAAAAAACTTAGAAGCACTACATACTACAATTCTAGTATGCAAGAGTAAGGCCAATAAGCAATAAGGCAAAGAACATAAATAATATACATTTTTCAGGGACAGGGATATAGCTCTGCCATGTAAGTGCTTGACTGGCCAGTGCAAGGTCCCAAGTTTGATCCTAGGTACTACTAAAAATAAATTTAAAAAATATTCTTCCTTCCTTCCTATGTATTTGGTACAAGGTCTTACTACGCAGTGGACTTACAGTGACCCTCATGTTTTTAGCTTCCCCAGTGCTGGGATTACAGGCATGGGTCACCACGCCTGGTCTTGGTAGCTGGCTCAGCTCACCCAGGGGAAGGGCTGGTGCAGCATGTGGTGCTGGGAATCGAACCCAGATCCCGGCACTTGTCTAAGCAGGTGCTTAGTCTGAGCTATCTTGCCAGCCCATTTATTTATTTATTTATTTATTTTTCATTTAGCTATTTTTTAGCAGCACTGGGGATTGAACTCAGAACCTTGCATTTGCCAGGCAGTCACCTATGTCACCAAGCTATCTCCCCAGCCCAATAAAATATTTTCATTCCAGAAACAATTACTATGATATTTAAAAGTATTTTATAGAAGAAGGCTGGAAAGGTTCATAAATTATTTCCACAAATACAGTACAACCCTAATACCAAAATGTAACAAAGAAAATTACAAACTAGGAGCTAGAGATGTAGCTCTACCTACCATGAATGAGGTCCTGAGTTTAATCCTCAATGCTATGAAAAACTATTTTTAAAATTATAAACCAACTATAGCTATAGTAGAAGATTCCAGAAAGTAAAATTTGCCTATTTACTAGCATGCACAAGATCTGGAGTTCGATCCCCAGTACTGGAGAAAACAAATTAATAACACTCTCAGAATACTTGAATATTGTTACTTAACATTCAGACTACATAAAGCATAACATTTTTTGTCAGAGTCCAGAAAGATCCCTCAACTAGATAAGCAGTCATCCTCGTAATGTCAAAACTGTATGGTGATACATGTAGCTCATGGCACAAAAACCTGCCCAGCAAGCACAAAGTCCTGAGTTTGATTCTAGATACCAACCCTCCCCACGAAAAAATGTATGAATCAAGGGCTAGGGGGATGGCTCAGTAGAAAAAGTGCTTGTCTGGCAAGTGCAAGAGCCTGAATTCAATCCCCGGTTCCGCAAAAAAAAAAAGTATTAATCAGGTCTCCTTGGAGAATGCTGATTCTAAGACCAAAGCTAGGAATACGTAAGATGAACCTATAGCATTTTGTCAAACCAGAAAATAATAAAGTGCTTAAAAATAAGTATTATGGAAATGAGAAATTGATACATGCTATAGCAGATGAATTGTATTGAAAACATATTAAGTCAAAGAGTACATATTATATGATATAGTGCAAGAATAGGTAAAGTCATAGAAAAATAAAATCTATGAAAGAAGTCAATACTCACCAAAATGGGCAAATGATAAAATAAGCATTTTGCAAAGGAATAAATGTTTTATTTCACTAGTTATGTAATTTTTAAATACCAACTTATTACTGATACATTGGTAATAATATCGAGATTGGTGAATGTATGGGAAAATAGGGTTATTCACAATCTGCTATTGTTGTATTTTTAACCACATATATCAAAAAATTTCAAAGCACCTGACTGGTATGCAAAAGGTCTAGAGTACGATCCCCAGTACTGGGGTAAAAAAAAAAAAAAATTCAAAAGAGCTACTATGCTCCTGAAAGTTTTCTCTTTAGAAAGTTATCTTAGAAAAATAAATATGAATATGTACAAATATTAATCTCTACAGACATTCAATGCCACATGTTCTTAATGAAAAAGTCTGTTGGAGCTAAGAATATAGTTCAAGTGGGAGAGTGCTAACGAAACATGTACAGGGCCCTGGGCTTGGCCCTAGCACATTCCTGGAAGGTAATTAAAATGTTCCAGGTCACAAAAGATACTTTAAACAAATCATGACGGATCTTTGATTTGAACTCCTTTATATTTTTCACCTGAGTCTCAGGAGAAGTTATATCCAAATGGATCAACCCTGCACTCCTACAGGACCAAGGCACAGCTCTACGGCAGCTGCTTACCTAACATGCTCAAGGCCTGAGGACACTTCCAACACTGCAACAACACTGCACCCCCAGCCTCCAACGCTGTTGTGACATACAACAGATGCTTATTCATATACCATATAGTCGTTAAGAATAAAATTTAAGTGCTGGGCACAGTGGCACACATCTATAATCCCAGCACTCAGGAGGCTGAAGTGGGAGGATCACTGGGAGTTCAAGACCGGCCTGGGCTACAAAGTGAACTCAAGGCCAGTCTGAACTGCATAGTGAGCCCATCTCAAGAAAAAAAAAAAAAAAAAAGAAGAAGAAACAAAGAAAATAAAACTTAAAAGTTTACTATTATTAGGAAATTTTCAGTAGATGAACAGATTACTAAACACATATGGTTTGTTGAATTTTATTTATTTATTTAATTTTTTTGGCGGAACTGGGGATTGAACTCTGGCCATTGCATTTGGAATAACACTGAGCCATCTCCCTAGCCCCACATATGGTTTTATCTGATCAAAATATATACAGGTAGTGTCAGGTATAGTGGTGTTTGCCTGTAATCCCAGCACTTGGAAGGCTGAGGTAGAACAATAGTTGTGAGTTCAAGACCAGACTGGGCTTATAAAGTATGCTCAAGACTAACTTGAACTGGGGCCGGGGAGATGGCTCAGAGGAATAAGCGTTTCCCTGGCAAGCTCAAGGACCTGAGTTCAATCCCCGGTTCCACCAAAAAAAAAAAAAAAAAGACTAACCTGAACCACATAGGGAGACCTGTCACAAAAACACCAAAAAAAAAAAAAAAAAAAAAAAAAAAAAAGAAAAAAGAAAAAACCACAGATCACAACAAAACTTCTTACCCTTATGGTTACTTCTCGTGCTTTGGGGTTTCGAACAGATGGTCCTGACGAAACATAATCAGCAGTGTCAACTTCAATTGGAAAATGCTTCTCACATTTCTCATCACTGTCTAGTGCAGGTGGCCACTCAGTGCAGAAATCTGAGAATTAAAAAAAAAAAATTCTCAATTATGATTCTGCAAGTAAAGTGTCAGTAACAGTAAAGTATGGCTCCAGAGATTAACAAATTACCACTCTAACTCTCAGGTCACGTGAAATGGAAGCAGATTCTCTGGGATTTATGGGACTAGGGGTGCATCTTGTAGTAAAGGATGTGCTTACCATGTATGAAGTTCACTAAAATTTAAAAAGGGGGGTCAATTAAGACTCAGGACATATGAGAACTTGTACTGTAACATCACCTACCTCGGTAGTGTCCCAAATTTTCTGATCAAGATTATGGGGTCAAAGAGGAAAGTGATCGATGACGGAGAGTGTGCCTAAGGAGAGTCACATGGGGAGAAGACACTCTCTCAGGCTTTCAGAGAGCACATTGGCCAAGCATTGGCCGTGACTCATCCACATGGCTGCACTGACAAAGGTTCTACAATCTGAGGTACAGGATCTCAGGATAAATCCTGAGGGCATTTCACTGACCTTCTCAGACCAAAAAGCTACAACTCTTGTTGCATAGGTCCTGCTTTACCTTGGTCTTAACCATCCAGTAGAAAAGTATGAAGACGAAATATAGGAAGTAAAGCCATGTTGTTATGTTGAGCTGTGGGGGACTCAGGTCAAAAATTTCTGACATTGCCAGTTAAACAGAAGACCCAATGCTATTATGGGCTACTGGACTCTTTTAGAATATTTTGCTGAGTTTACACACCTATAATATTCAATAATGGAACTTAAAAAAAATGGGGTATAACTATGAATGTCCATTTTGTATCTGTGTATTCAAAGTGGTTGGGATAAGATATATAGTTGCATTCTCTTAATGAATAGAATGATTTTTTCTAATTGTGTTTGTAAATAGGATCACAAGTCTGCATCTTGTACAGCAATTAACCACTAAGAAGAATATATGCAGTGTATTATTTGTTGAAACTGTACTTTCGATTTGGTTTGAAACTGTCTCATTGCTATATGTTTATCAATAAAACTTTGAAAAGAAAAAAAATAAAAATAAAAAATAAATAAAAAAATAAAAAGGGGGTACCATGCTTCAATGGAAGTACATCACAGTTCTACATATACCTAGTATATATTAAGTATTACAAACATGCTAATTACAAAAGTAGACAGTTCAGTGTTCAGTCTATGGAAAACAAGATATTAATCCACCCTCAAATAAATACTACTGGTCTGGTAAGACAGCTCTGTGGACTAAAGCACCTGCTTTGGCAAAGAGCAGGGACAGGGGTTCAATCCCAGGTCCCACATGCCATGCCAGTAGTGGCCCCACCCTGGGGGTGCACTAAGGCAGTGACTGAGTTCAGGCGTAGTGGCACACCCCTGTAATCCCAATATAAGAAAGGCTGAAAACAGGAGGCTCACTATGAGTCTGAGCTGTGCAGTGAGACCCTGTACTAAATACACAAATGAAAAAAAAAAAAAACAAAAACAAAAAAACTGAAGACCGCTGAAAGAAATGGGAAGAAGCTCCAGGAAAGCTCTAAAATAGAACTGTAGTCAACAATCTTTCAGAAATTGAATTAAAAATTCAAACAGATACAAACCTTATATAGATATCTGATGTTTCTTCTCAGTGATTTTTGTGTGCCAAACAGGCTATGGAAAGAGGAAAAGTTTTGTCCTCACATTTGGGCAAGACAAATGACCCAGAGAGGTGGGACTGGGTCTACTAAGACCTAAGTCATAACAGGCAGTTCTGAGCACTGTGAACATGACTCTTGACTCCAGAGCACAAAGGTTTGAATTCAGGGACCAATTGGGGGTGGCTCCCAGCCTTCTACAAGAACCAACAGCTGACTTCATACTGAGCTATTCCTATCAGGTTGGCATAGTACAGAGCACTTAGCTTGGGATGTAAACTTCTGCCACTATCAGGCTTCCCTTCCTACTGCTTAACTAACTGGTTTCACTCAAGAACTAAAAGCAATTGCCTTCTTGGGTCAAACATCATGGATCCACGCTTCCTCCAGTAAAGTATAAATGTGGGAAAGACTAGTCATACTCACAGGCAGACGTGGGAATGCTTCCATGTGATAACCCAAGAGACAGTGAGTGATGTTTTGCCAGTAACTTTTTTTTTTAAGCTAACAGTTTTCTAATAGTCGATACTACATTTAGCTCACTGTAGGCTTAATTTTTAAATCACAGTCAGTAAAATGTGACTCTGGGTTATGAAGACTTTCTGATACCTGGGACTAAATATAAGCTTGCAAAGTAAGCATAGGTCACATCACTTATTAAACATCCTGTTTAAAAGGTCCATACTTAAATTACCTTGAAGACAAAGAACTATCTTAGGAATTGAGAACATTTTGACATTTAAAAAAATGAACAGAGCACGAGTACTGAGCTGAACTTCATTCCCGCATTCCCAGTTTCAACATCCTGCACCATAAGCTGCATCGCTGGCAAGCACTGCGCAGGAGTAACTAGTTTGGAGAGTATGAGGAGCTTTTGGGTTTGCGATCTTTGCTTTTTTCTTTTAAACTATGAGTAAATCATTTCAATCACCAGATAATTATAGTTGCTAAATTACTTAAGATTATACATCTAAAAAAAATACAGCAACCACACATCTATCTGAGAAGAACAGACTAGACTTTAAAAGCCCCTGGTTTATAGGGGTCAGGGAGATGGCTCAGTGGAATAAGCGCTTCCCTGGCAAGCACAAGGGCCTGAGTTCAATCCCTAGTTCTGCCAAAAAAAAAAAAAAAAAGCCCCTGGTTTTTATTTAACTTCTGTCATTGGCTGTTAAAGTTTTGGTAAATTATCTAATACTCTTGTACTTTAGATTTTCCATTTGCAAGTTAGGTATAAAAATTGACCTACTCTGGAAGAAAACTGAGACTATCTGAAAACCCTTTGAGGGTTTTTGGAAGATGCATTCCAAATCCAAATATAGGCTTGCAGAAATGTACGGAATAATTAAGGAAAGATTAAACACTCACTTAAGTACTGCAAAAAGAAATAACATTACTTTTGCTAGATTATAAACATAAATTTAAAAACATTTAAAATGGAGAAATGACTACACTCTAAGTGAAGTACATCAGACTTAACATGTATAAACATCATACTGTCTCCCTAGCACAAGAAATTGAAAGAATAAACAAAATCTGAAAAGTACAATAGATACTGTGAAAGGGAAAGAAAATGTTCAAAAGGACAGACCTGAAAGGAGGAACATACATACACACACACACAAGATAATTATACCAATTTCTATTGGTTTAATGAAAGGAACAGTTAATGCTTTTTTTTAAACCAATTTTGTGTACTTATATCTGGTAATCCGAACAGCTACTCTGAAGATAACAATATGCAATATAACAACCATTGCTGATTTCCTAAAAAAAATAAATAAAACGGAGAAATGAAATTCTTCACAATGTATAGTAATGGAACAATGATCATTTCTAGGTCCAATCCCAAGCACAGATGAATAAACTTCTAATGTTTTGTAATTCTAATTTCTTCATAACTTCTCTGTAGCACTGTATGACTAAACCCACTGACTAAATCCACTGTTGTGCCACGCAGTATTCTTCTCTACTATCTTTAGTGTGAATCATAACGACTTGTACCTATTGACAAAACTTCAGTATTATGTGTTTTCTGTAACTCAGTAAGTCCCTCATCCTCCTGTGAGCAAAGATTAGGGTTACAACTTCTACTTATATTCGTAATACCTTATAGCATTGACAGGTAAAAACTCACTGAAAATAAATTTCAAAATACTTTATTTATTCATTTATTTTTTGTATTTTAGGGAAGGGTCTACACGGTGTTCAAAGTCTCACTACTAGATTGGACTTGTAGTGATTCACCCATTTACAGCCTCCCAAGACCTGGGATTGCAGGCGTGCACCACCACACTCAGTCTTAATTGCTTTCTCAATGCACCCCGGGGGCAGGGCCAGCACAGCATCAAAATCCTTTTTTTAAAAAAAGAGAAATTTACAATAACTTAAGTTACAAGGCTATATCTTATTATACCTAAGATTCTTCATTTTATATTCAAAGTCAATATAAAATTTATATTAAAAATAAATCACTTACCTTTAAGAGCTTGGCAATGCTTCCTAATTGCTACAGGAGTCAAGTGCAAAAAATTAGGGATCTAAAAGAAATTTAAAGAATAAATCAGAATGTCTTTTTTTTTTTTTTTTTTTAGCTTTATTCTCACTTAATGACCAGAGTGATCTCAAATCTTTGGGTTCTAGTGATCCTCTTGCCTCTTGTATAGTTAGGACTATAGGTGTGTGCTACCAAATCAGGCTAAATGATATAAAAACATGGAAAAGACAGCTTTCTCATAAAACTAAATGACAGAAAAAAAAACCAAAAATGAAATGACAGGTCCACTAAACCATGCAATAAATAAAATCTGACTTTTCTTTCAGTATGTTAACTCTATGGCACAGATGTTACCAATTCAAGAAACAAACTTCTTATAATATGTATTTAGTACCAATTAATATTTTCAGATCATATAAATCTATATCTTTATGATGTGTTCTATGGTGACATGTTGGAAACATAAACATAATTTTTATAACATTCCTCTTGTCATGAGTCTACAGGTGTACACATATATTTTTCTTAGGACACAGATCATTGCCTAATTTCCCCAATTCTCCTAGAAAGGCTAGCTAGCATGGTGTTATTTCTACTTTATAGCTACTCGACGTTTTATAAATTTAGAGACTGGGCATGGTGGCATGCGCCTGTAATACCAGCTCTTGTGAGCTTGTAAACAGGCAGATCGTTACAAGTCCAATCTAGTAGTGAGACCCTGAACACCCTGTAGACCCTTCCCTAAAATAAAAAATATTTTATAAATTTAATGGATGAAAAACTGAGGTTTACAAAACTTTATGGTTTAAGCAAGTTAAGAATATGCTTATAGGGGCTGGGGAGATGGCTCAGTAGAATAAGTGCTTGCCTGGCAAGCGCAAGGGTCTGAGTTCAATCCCCAGTTCTGAAAAAAAAAAAAAAGAATATGCTTATGATGACATACTAAAAGTTTAGCTGACTGATTATTCATGGAGTCAATGAAAATTTAGGAAAGGTTAAGGACTTAATTCCTAATAAATAATTAAGATATACTACCATGTTTCCTGAATAATAAGCCTGCAAAGAGAAAATTTGTTCAGACTCATTTAGCAAGAATATTTTAATAAAATGAAAGTGACTCCAAGAATTATGTGTAGTACCTTGAGTGTTTATCAAAAATATTTAATCAAGAGAAAATAAGCAATGAACATTAGAACTATGGAAGACAGCTTCATCTTGTATGTTTATTTTTTGAAACATGCAATATAAATCTCAGTACTATAAAAGGAAGAAATACCTAATGTTTACAGGAACTTACAGGCATTATTCTAAGTACCTTGTATATATTCACTCAGTAAACATATTCAATTGTATTATCAGAAACAGACGATGTTCATAAATGTTTGTACTTTTGTTTTTTCACGACTAGCAACATTACTATTACTTTCAGCCAAGGACATTTTCCAAAGACTTTCTTTATAAGTCCTCTTTTCAAGATTTGTTTCCTTCAATACTCGTTTTCTGGGGCTGGGGAGATGGCTCAGTGGAATAAACGCTTCCCTGGCAAGCGCAAGGGCCTGAGTTCAATCCCTGGTTCTGCAAAAAAAAAAAAAAAAAAAAAATACTCGTTTTCTTGCATCTCCCAATCCCTTTTTTTGCCTTTTTGAGACAGGACTTCGCTATGTAGCCCAGGCTGGCTAGAATGAGCACCCATCTTCTGTGTGAGCCTCACAAGTGCTGGGATTACAGGTATGTGCCACCAAACCTCACCTCTTGTGTCTCTGAAATGTTTCCATTTCCAAACTTCCTTTACCCACCTCTAGGAAGAAAATAATACTTCTCTATTCCTGTCTCATTTTTTTAACATCATCTGGTTTTTTTTTTGTGACATCAGGAATGTATCATTTACAGGAAATTTCCCTCTGTCTACACAATATCCCTAAAGCAATTTCAAGCCAGTTACTTCTTGGTCCTGGGCCAAAACTGTCTGTATTGCTTGGTAATCAAAGGCATCAATGAGCTCTGACTCCTCCTCTTTCTTGTGTTGGAGCTGGGTCTCTCATTTCTGGAGCCTGGCCCAGCACTCCTCAGGGGACAGGGTGTTCAGGTCCAGGGACATTACCAGCATGTGCCTTGGCTCCTGGTAGCAGATGTGAATGGTGGAGCCGTCCTGCTTGACAAGCAGCACTGGGTAGAGGCGTCAATAGGCCTGGTGGTGCAGGCGAGTGAGTGCAGCCTTGCTGCTGTCTGCCCAGCTTTTAGAAAAGTGCAGGCAGCGGGGTCTGGATGCAGCTGCCTTCACGATGCTCTGTGGTAGCAAGCTAAGCAGGCTGCCCGCAGCTGCCATTCTCCTTTAGGGCCTGATCTGTCCCGGTGTGACTGAGCAAGTTGTAAACTGAGCCCAAGGAGGGGCCGCACGCAAGACTACAGAGGTGCTTTGACATCATCTTTCAGCAAATTTTTTTTTTTTTTTGCAGAATCGGGGATTGAACTCAGGCCCTTGTGCTTGCCATGGAAGTGCTTATTCTATTGAGCCATCTCCCTGCCCCTAAATTTTTCTGCTTTTCAAGACTTCACGTAGAGGGGCCGGGGAGATGGCTCAGAAGGATAAGCGCTTGACTGGCAAACGCAAGGATCTGAGTTCAATCCCCGGTTCCGCAAAAAAAATAAGACTTCACGTAGGGACAAAAGAGCTCTTTTCCAATTATAACTTCTATTTACTCTAAAACAACCATGTATGATATGCATCTATGCATGGATGATATGTATATTTTATTTATAAGCCATAAATAAATCATATAGATGCTATGAAATGAAACATTTAAAAAGACATATTTCCCTTTAAGCAGTAAAGAAGTTAAAGCTGGTGAGCTGTAACAATATTATTAAATAAATATTCTACCTTTTCTGGAGTTTTAAAGATGGAACCTTGAGCCAGGAAGATAGCTCAGTAGAATAAGCACTTCCCTGGAAATGCCAAGGGCCACAGTTCAATCCCCTGTTCCAGGAGACATGGAGGAAGGCGACACTGAATCATTTGTTGGGGGCTGGGGAGATGGCTCAGTGGTGGAATAAGTGCTTCCCTGGCAAGTGCAAGGGCCTGAGTTCAATCCCCGGTTCCGCCAAAAAACAAAACAAAAAAAAATGGAACCTTACTTCCCAATTATAAATCTAAGATTATTTTACTTTTCTTAGTTCCATTTAATGGACAAAACATAAAGAAGATACAACAGAAAAGGCTACAAGAAAAAAATCACACTATAGTCTTGTCCACTAACAACTACCACCTGGAAAAATTATGGTATAACACCATAAGCTGCTATCTTCTGAACACTAAAGTGGAGGGGAGAGCAGCATTTATGTAGATATTAGTTTTAGCCAATGCACCAGCAACTTACCTTACCTTTAGAAGTTCTAGATTCCCCTCTTTTGCCATGGGAACACCCCTTTTCACTGGATAACCCATCCGAACAGGCAGAGGCACCGCGGAGGGCTTAAAGGGCATGGCAACAGGGTAGACACTCGGCCAATCCTGGTCAATAGCCATTTTCTCCGTTCTAGGCGGTAGTACCTAAGAATAAAAAAATACTTAATAGTGTG